TAATTACTCTGGCCAATCACATAGGACACAGACAATACATTGAACCAATCAAAACTCGAAGTAATTACATGTGGCTGACGCAAAGCGCGGGAAAATGCATGCGAGCGCGTCACAATTGGCTTTGGTTTTACTTCTGATTGGATGAAAAGGTGGCGCGAATCTTTTAAGCCAATCGCATCGTGTAGAAAGTGCAAAACCAATTACTTTTCGACACTCAAATGAAAACCGCTCTATCATTTATGAGTGAACAATAACTGGAGGGGGGCTTAAAAGAGGGGGGGTTTCAATAACTTTCTTCTACTGAAAAAAGGGGAGGGGCTGATAAGAGAGAGGGGGCTTAATAGAAGATTACGAAAAAACAAGTTTCCTGTTGATCACCAAAGTGGAATAATCAAACCTGATCAAGCACAAGACAACCAATGACAGCTTAACCCTTTAAGCCCTAAGAGTGATCAGCATCAAATTTCTCCTTGTAATATCAATGCTTTGTTAAACAGCGGTCATGAGAATTACGGACATAATCACACAAGGTGAATTTGCCTGATTTTTATGAACTTCTCCTCCGTACTTCTGTAGGAAATGAATAGGAGCAACAAATGAGAATTCCAATTTTGATCTTAGGGCTTAAAGGGGTAGCAACAAGACTCACGAGGCTCCACCTTAAACCAAAACAGCAACTCTGATGTAGGTAACAACCCAGGTCAGCTTTAAACCCAAAACGTGCCCACTTCAATAACTGACACTCAAATTTAATAAATGACACTTGAAGTAATAAAGTCAAAAACCTATCGCTGCAAAAACGTATTTTGTTGCTTCACTCTTCACGTGTGTTCCGCGCACGTATCCCATCATTCTCGCGCTTGTCCCTTGCCAAAGCCTGTGAAGGAAGCAGTTTGTACATGTATAACCCATTCGCCCCTGGACGTTTTGCCTATCGGAAGTAAATGCTGTTTTTTAATCGATCTCCTTACGTTCAAGTCTACAGTTCACTTACCAATCAGCAAACTAAGGCAGTCGAAATGAACCTCGAATCAAATTCGTCGTTAAATGAAGAGGAAAAGTCGTTCCGTCAAGTTGCCATGGTAGCAAAATTTCTAGTTGACAATAACCGAAAACGTCGCTTAAAAAACGTATATAGGCCTTTTGCAATAGTTGGTCACGTGATCAACTTTCTGTAAACACGAAAAAAGTTTGCTTTTGGAAAATTCTGTTAGCTGGAACTGAAAGAGCATATTAAAATTAAGTAACCCGTAAATTTTCAGCCGTACATCTCATAAGAAGCAATTGCAACGGTCGCCCAAAATTAGAAGGATTTGAATGAGAAAAACAACTCTTGCCACCCAGCAACGTTTGAGTGGTTTTTCATACAAATCCTTGTAAATTTAGAAATTTTGAAACTCTCGTGAAATCTTTGGCTCACGCATTTAAAGGCTCAAATTGCCTGTAATGAGTAAAAAGGAGATTTGAGCCAGGTAATGCTCAAGGAAATATTTCACATGGCACAAATTCATGTCCGCTGTAAACGTGAAATCTTAATCTCTCCGTATTGTCTCGAACGGTTTGCAACGCTGTATTGCGCTGAAAACCGCCGGTAGTTGCGAATCGTCTCATGTGGCATCACCTTTAGCGAAGACACAGGAAACAGTCGTTGGCTGCCCCAGTAATGCTAAAGAGGGCGTAAGGTTCTCAAACTTGGTGAAGAGTGACCTTAATTGTTTGGCCAATTGCTATATATCCTGGCTGATGGATTTCCCAACCACTTCCACTATGATGCGTCACAACTCAGTCATTTTGTGTTCCTGTTATTCCAAAACACGCAATAGGATTTGTGATACAGATATCCTAGAACAAATCGTATGATTTGTTAGATGAACTAAATCCGAAAAGAAATCTCATCATCTGATCTACTGAAGAAGAGAATTGCCATTGTAAAAATCCAATAAAACAATATAATAAAACCAACTGTATTCCACTGATGAAGGGCAAAGCCCGAAACGTTTGGACGCTGTAAACGACAACTTGGAACTCAGTGTCAATAACATTTTTATTATTTTCTGCATTTCACTATGTGTCACGCCGAACTAGATCTAAAAGTTCCGGTTACAAGAATCCTGATAGGCTGGCTTATAGAGAGGAGAAGTGTGACGTCACGTTACCAAGGAAGCAAGATTTTTAAATGACAACAACAGGGAGTTTTTGTAACGGCGACGGCGAACAGCAAAAAAATAAACAATAGGTGTAGATTGGCAAAAACTCAACTTTGCACGTGCATCACGCTTTTCTGTACATTTCTTAGCAGTTGTCGCACGACTGCGACATGAAACTTCCAAATTTAACGCGCCCGCTTTATGGAGTAGGTGAACACAACACCCAAAATTTTTTGTTTTTCCTAAACTTAGGTACGGTCCTTTCGGATTTAACCCAGAAAATTTCGCCAACATTTGACACTGATAAAATGAAGTTGAAACAGTGCGAATTTACCTTTTTTTTTTCGGTTTGTTGTCATCCAAAAATATTACTTCCATGGCAACATGACGCAACGACTTCTCCTCTCTATTGCAGATCAGTTTACGCATAGTTATTAGAGGAGAATGGTTATGAAAAGCAGCAAACATCAATGATAAAAACAACAGGGCCGGGTTGCTCGAAGCTTGGTTAAGATAACCCAGGGTTAGTGCGAACTTTGAACTCTGATATTAGAGCTTAAAATTCAAATTCAGTTTAATTCTTTTTGCCTACAATTTGATGATTGGATACTCTAAAAAGAATAGAGAAAAATATCCGAGAGAGTGCTTTTGATAACAAGAAAAAGAAAGCCGGGTTAAAATTTAACCCCGGGTTAGTGCTAACCGGCATTCGAACAACTGGGCCCAGAACTGCAGTTTATGTTGGAAGCACCCTGAAAGTGCACAATCCTTTGTTTTCTGTTAGCAAATTGTTACGGAATAAATCAATGTCACGTTTGTATTGGTCAATACAATCAAAATGACAGGAACGCTTTTGAACGTTGTGCACTTTCAGGCCCACAAAAACATATAACAAAGGAGTCTGACGGGTTTCATAACCATTCCACTCAATTAACTATGGTTTAGGTTTCTGGGAAACTACTTACCTACCCATCTCCTAGGTCAAAATTTTGCTGTAACTTTTGTTACGTTGGCTTAGCGGTGGAGTAGGTATATCAGATTGCTTCCTAAACTCCGTTGAGGCACAGTACGTTTAAATAATAATTCGCGGAATATTGAACGAAAGCAATTCATCTTAAGTAAGGTAAATAGCTTTTATTTCTTTAATCCATATAAGAAATCGCTTAAATTGACTCACAACATACACACGTATTACATTCTTTATACTACTGGATGAGAAATTTCTGCAATTTGATTGGCTTAGAGCAGTGGTATTCCAGCTTAATTTGAAATACCTACATGTGAAAATTTCAAACCTTTTGCAGGTAGTAGTATAAACAAATAATAGCATGATTTGTACGTGATATTTGGCATAAATACCACTCGTGATATTTTAAAATTGTCTCAAATTTCACTCGCCTAACGGCTCGTGAAATTACGTCTAACAATTTTGAAATATCACTCATGGTATTTATGCCAAATATGACTACAAACCATGCTATTACCTATACAAACTCTATTGTCGCCAAATACTCTTGCTTAATAATTAGAGCAATTTCGAAATATTAACATTCATGCTTAGCTTCGAGGCTAAGGGGAATAAAACAAAAGAAATCATCTTGAAGCTCAGCAATGAATAATACATTTAATAGATTTTTGTTTTATTCCCTTAAGCCTTCTAACAAACTATGAATCTTATACATCGAAATTGGTCATTACTCTTCATCAAGGTAATTAGCCTTGTTTTCTACATTCAATATAAGAAATCGGTAAATTAAACTTTCAACACTTCTTTGCACTAGTGCTTAAGTATTCTTCTAGTCTCCCTTTTCTCCTTTTTTTTTTTTTTTTTTTGCAAAACGGAAGCAATAATAACAATAATAACGAAGGTGAGAAACTATCCTAATAAATTTAACGAATCTAGCAAATCTCTTATTCTGTAACAAACTCTCACTTGGCGAATGAGCACCTTAAACTAGTTTTTTTCAGCTACTTCCAGGAACCACTTCTCAACAGTTTGCTCTGTTCTGTTTAGTTTGTGTTCTTTACTTTTCTGCTTTTGGCTTGATTTGACATTCCGTAAAGAAAAGGACAATTTACTTGGAGCTGACGAGACATCTGTCTAAAGACAGGCTGTTGGTGGTTCTGAGGCTTCGTAAGGATACGGTATTTCTTCCATTTTCGAGAGTGCGTACTTGCGGACTGCCTCCTTGATTTTGTTGTCAATCTTAATTTTATCCCATCCACTAAACTGCTTCTTTCTAGTGAATCTTTTAAATATTAATGTTGGAATTACTCCACTAATAAACACAAAGAAGGTGGAAACCAGTGCTGACATTTCTTCCATAGTTTCAAAAGCTATTACAGCGAAGAAAAACAAGCATAAGAAAAATACAACTAAAGCCATGTCTCTAAACATGAAGAAGATTTCAGTTGTCAAGGGAAGAATTTGCATTTCAGACTCTTTAAAATCCCACTCATTGCCACAGACAGACCAGAATAGTTCTTTTGGAATAGTGCCATTATTGCGGCATTTTATCCATGACAAATCTTTTGTCTCTTCTTCCCAGTGCTTTGAGATCATACCTTTAACCTCTCTATATCTACTCAGTAAATTTGAGTAACATAGATATGTATTCGCTGCAACTACAGAAATAAAAACTACGTAAGGAGACACAAATTCATAATTTAAAACCAACCCCACAATTGTAAGGAAGAAAATAGTCATTATAAAAGCTACCGATGCTTGAAGGACCAAAATTAGCGAAGTAATAAATATTGCTGAAGTTGTAATAGATAATACTGCTGGAATTAGGTAATAATGGATTGAATGACTTCCACTGGCCTTAAATATCGATTTAGAAATGATCGTAAGCTTTTTAAGAAGGAAGAAAGTAAGAAATGATGTAAATGGCGAAAACATTGTAAATATTACGAACAGGCCGATTAAAAAAATCAGTATAGAAGCAAAACTTAACGTTGCACCAATAAGGAATTTAGGAAAAATAGAAAGAAAATCACACATGAAGCGGAATGCCCGTCTTCTTCTCGATTTGCCTGTTCTGCAGCTTAAAGAAAGTTTCATCAAGCTTGTTTTTAATAAACCCATGTATCGGTGTAGCATATAAAAAGTGAAATGGAAGACCCGCTTTCGTTGTTCCTTTAACTGTTCGAAGATGAATGGACCTAATGGAGGAAGTAAATCCTTCGGTCTGATAAATGGAAGAACTACAAGCAACAAAACACAAAAAAATAACACGGTAGTGCCAAAAACAGTTAGTTTCCATTGCCGTCCAAAATCAACAAAAAGTGCGGATGAACAAATAGCAAGAAATTGTCCATCGTCAGCACAGTGTTGGTGACTTTTTCGACTGACCTCTTGATAATATTCTAAGTTATAAAAGCAGGCAACTGCAAGCTTGAGATATAGGAAAATAGGAAACACAACAAAAATAAAAAAGAATAGCTTAAGGTTAAAATTCACTTGGATTTGTGGAAGTTCCTTTATAAAGTATCTCAGTAGAGCGCTAATGATGAGGCTGTCGTCCTCTACAGGAATTTCATTGGATAATTCATGGTATTTATGATGAGTAGAGGAATTTTCTTCCAATTTACTGTCTGTTTCCTCCGAACTGTCTGAGTATACATCAATGATGTCCTCTATAAACTGCCCTGGTGCTTGCTGACTTGTTTGTGTGATGTCGGTCATTTCGATGTCTTGGTGTTCAATAGGTGATACTTGTCTGGGACCAACTAGATTGCTCGCTGGTTGTTCTTTTTTTTCTTTGTCGCGTTCGTGCTGAACGTTGAAAAGCCAATCGGGGATTAAGAGAGGGATTCCTGGAGCGTAGATCCAGAGTGTGAACACTAACAAATAGTATACGCCTTGGAACAGTTTGGCAGACCAGACATTTCCAAGGGCAAACCCACACTGAACAATCGTATGATTCCCTTCGGCGTTGTTCTGCAGGCTGCAGCAAAGATTTTTCCAACCTTTCCCCTGACTTGGGGAGTTTTTCTTGCGATATGTACACACAGATCCAGTCTGTGGTAAGCGATTTCCCGGGCTTAAGTTCGTGATATTGCCTAACAGCGCTTCTGCGACGACATTGTCCTGGCAGGAAGTGTTCAGTTGAGCAAGACATCTAGGTGGTTTTTCTTCAAGTTGCACGCTCATGTACCTCTTCTGACGTGTTAAAAGACCCAAAGAGTAGATGTCGTACTCGTTGTCCGTCATGCGCAACATCGGCTCTTGTATTGTCTTTGCCCAAATCCATCTTTTGGCCAAAAGCCTTTCATTTGACTCCAACGGATGGAAGCTGTCGTTCCCGAATTCTAAATTGAAGTAGACTAGTCTTACATCCTTTTCTGTAGCCAACTGTTGAAATATGACAGCAAGGTCCCCTCTGACAGGAGCAACATTACATTGACTCACCCCACATGGCTGTAGAGCGTTGGAAGACGCCAAAAACCAAATTGTTAAAAGACAAATAGCCTGGATAGCCATTTTTACGACTCGTTTGTCTGACTGTTCAGTGTAATTCAAAACCCAATCTGTAACAAAAAACACGGAAGTGCTGTCGGCCACAAATATCAATTCAAATTGGCGTTCGTTTATCCCTGCTAAAAGTTAAGCGCTAACATTGGTGTTTTGTCAGAGTAAATTTTATCCTGGCTTACGAGTGAATGGTAAGTTAAATAGAGATGGTAAACTTTAAGCATGTGTTTCGCAACTTCAACTTCATGTGACCAATTGACCTTGCTGGCGTATTTTTGAAACAACATCTCTTAAGCGCTTTATCTGTTTTGAACTGGTGTCTGTGTGGATAAGGTTGCCAATCCCAACAACCCTACATATCAGCTATGCCACATTTAATTCAGTAGAACTGAGTTAAGAATTGAATTTAGTGCAGTTAAAAGTAGAGTAAAGAAAGTTTAAAACACTTTGTATGAGCTTGTGTGTTCTGCCCATGGGCAGGTCCTTCCATATAGTTCTCGATTTAGGGCGTTTATGTAGCGACCTTTATTTCCGTGGAGTTCGAGTACACCTTGTCACGTGAGCGAAACATGCATGGCGTCATTACTTCAAAGCCCAATATGTAACAAAAATCACGGAACTGTTATCGGCCACAAATATCGATTCAAACTGGCCTTCGTTTACCCCTGCTAAAAGTCAAGAGCTAACACTGAATTGCTGTTTTGTCAGAGTAAATTTTATCCTGGCTCACAAATAAATGGTTAATTAAATAGAGATGGTAAACTTTAAGGATGTATTTCGCAACTTCAACGTCATGTGACCAATTGACCTTGCTGGCGTATTTTTGAAACAACATCTCTAAAGCGCTTTATCTGTTTTGAACTGGTGTCTGTGTGG